GTCTTTTTTGTGCAATGATCCCTGGTCCTTGTGGCTGGGTAGAGTTCATTGACCTTTTACAGGCTATATTTTTCAATATTGGGAGCCAGGCTGTGTTTAGTTTTAGGCCTTCTTCCTTTTTGTTGAAGTTCTGTTCATGTTTATGGATTTCAACGCACAGGGAAGCTATAAATACTCATGATCAAAGAACCTGAAAAACCCACAACAACCATCAGATCCTGGCTGTGAAAGCCTTCAAGAATTCTCTTTACCATTATCATCTTTAACTCTGGTTACTTCAACATTTGTAAATACATTGGTTAACTTAATATTTAAACAAGACAGTGGTTCATGACCCAACACTCTCTCTCTCTCTCTCTCTCTCTCTCTCTCTCTCTCTCTCTCTCTGTGTGTGTGTGTATGTGTGTATTTGTGGGGAGGGGAACCTCTCCTCTAAATTTCAGGTGAGCCCTTGCCCCCACTTGCATATTGGGCAACTTATGCTTAAACAGGTTCGTTAAAAGGTTTCCTGCCAGAGTTGTATATATTCATAGCATGAAAGCCTGCAGTATTTATCCTGTAGAACTAGAGGAAGAGAGTCGAGAGATGAGCTGGTTTGGCAGTTTGTGCCAGTTTGTTTATTGGCTGAACAAGTGTTGGGTGCTTCAAAGCCCCATCTCCTCTGGTGGGCACACACTCAGAGGTAGGGCAAAGAGGCCAGGCCATTGCCTTTGAGTAGATGCCCGCCAGACGACGGGGTGGGGCTTTGAAAACCGGTTTGGTTGATAAAGGAACTGCCACAAACCACCAAACCAGAAGTTCTTGCTCATCTCTAGAAGGGACTATCTTATGTTTAATTTCCCAATGTTCCCATTCCTAGTACCTGTTCCCACACTAGAATTCCCCTCCTTTGAGGTTTTAAAGCATTCCTTTCCATCTCTGGCTCTGTGAGACGTTAGGCAATGTTATCTTCCACACTCATTACCTCACCCAGTCAGCCGGCACTTCGAGAGGGCAAAGTTCTGAGGCCTAAGAACAAACTCCAATCCTCTTACCTGCATAAAATGCACAAACTGGCTCTCGAGCAGCTTTTTAGCATCAGATTTGCTGAGTTTGCCATCTGCATCTGCGGCGTTATCATAAACCAAGGCTGCTGTTGCAACAGCTTTCTCCAGGTCAGAGCCTTTTCCTAGTGCTGGGGTGGGGGGTAAGGAGAGAAAATATATATATATATATTGGAACATCTAGCGAAAGCAGTTTCGAGACAACAGTCCAGAGTCAGCATTTGGGGCTTTCAAAACTGACAGGGCTGACGCTGCTTATGTATTGGGACAGGGGAGCTTCGCCAGAGCTGGCAGGTTGCAGAACTCGAGGCAAAGCTTGGGAAGTCCCGCATACTGCAAATGGTAAGAGATGCCCAGATTTGTATTTCTCCAGGTTGCAAATCCCAAAACTTGGAATTTTGGGAATTCTGGGAGTTGCCCTCCAAAATTTCAAATCTTTGTGCCTGCAGTGAATAGGGGGACCTCGCACGATGCAGGATGTGCACACTAGCAGCAGGGCTGCTCAGCTCTGGAGTATTACATAGGTTAAAAGGTAAAGGTTCCCCTTGACAATTTTTGTCCAGTCATGTTCGACTGGACAAAAATTGGGAGGGAGAGGGTTATAATTCAAAGTTGTAAAAAGCCTCATAGGGAGGCACACACTTTCAACTGAATAATTTTTTCAAAGAGGCCGGAGCTGTAGAAATGTGGCCACGAGCCCTAATTTATGCAGAATATTACATAGGGTAAAAGGTAAAGGTTCCCCTTGACAATTTTTGTCCAGTCATGTTCGACTGGACAAAAATTGGGAGGGAGAGGGTTATAATTCAAAGTTGTAAAAAGCCTCATAGGGAGGCACACACTTTCAACTGAATAATTTTTTCAAAGAGGCCGGAGCTGTAGAAATGTGGCCACGAGCCCTAATTTATGCAGAGGATAGTTCTTTTATTTAAGATAATCCTGTGTTAAACAGGGTGTTTGGTTTAAAGCTAACCCGCAGGGCGGGTTAAATAGCTAAGGAAGCATGTGGCCCAGTGCAGCTCTCAAAGTTGTCCATCCACAGGGAGCACCTCTGCAAACTGCAAACCCAACAGGTAAATATGCCTTGCCATTTTAGTACGTATTTTGAGACGTAAAACATTTCTGTTTAAATGGCAGTAACTACTTTTTATATGTGTGTCTACACACCTAAAGCAGTGCACGCACTGTTTAGAGAAACCAGGGTCTCCTTCTTTTCTCTTGCTACATGGACACCAATTTTTCTGCTTCGGTGAGGTGTACAGTAAATGCACGTTTTAGGGAAGAGCAGACAGAGCTGAGTCAGTCACTAGAGTTGGAAGTACAGTTTGACAACATAGTATCTGGCAGGTAAGGGCTGGAGTCCAGGTAGAGTCTAACATTTGGGTGGGCATTTATTCAGGGTCCAGAGGTCACTTTTGTCCTTCCTTAGACCTCAGCAAGCTGCACTCCACGCGGCCCTGCCCCGAAAAACAACAACAAAATGCTCACTTTTCTGAGGGTGCTTGCATGTCTGTGGGCACCCTAGTGTTACATTTAACATTTATGCTCAATTTTAAGAAGATTTAAAAAATGGAATTAGTAGTGTTGAGTGCTTTTAAAATGTAATAATGATATCCAAAAGTTTTTTTAAAAAGTAATGATAATGCCGACAATAATTCCGACTTGTGTAACTCTAAAACAGAACGATAAATAATTTTGTCACAAGTAAAAATGTAGTGATTAGAGTTGCCAGTGGTACCCCATTCCCCTGAGATTTCAAGGCCCAAAATGGAGGCCAAGGGGTGGCTCCTTGTGATGACCCAGAGGCAGGAAATGCAAAGTTGTGAGAGAGACCGGAACTACTTCTAGGCCAGGACAATGTGGAAAAATTGAATTCAATTGAATCTAGGTCAATGGGTCCAGAATCTGGGTAGAACACTGTTAACAAAATAATCTGGCACTTGAGAGGTTTTTTTTCTTTTTGTGTGTGTGTTTTCTTTTTAGCTGGGGAGTCAGAAAGGTGTAGCCAGCAGCTATAGTCCTGTGGGTATTCACTTAGATGTCACTGCTGCTGAGGTGGAGGTTTGTGGAAGGCTCGCTGTAATCCCCCAGGGATCTCTTTTCTGTGTTTCTTACTGCGGCTGTTCTGACCTGTGCGATACTAAACGCCAGCCATGATGCTGGTGCTTCATTCCCTATCTTGCTCCAAATGGTGTTTAAGAGGCCAAAGTGCCTGTACCAATCAACATTCTCCCTGCTCCCCTCCCTGTGGCATAGGTGGAAAACCTGTGGCATTTCAGTGGTCAGCATCTTAGTTTCTGTGGAAATAATGGAAACAATCTGTGTCCCACCTCGACATCCCAGCAATGGTTAAGAAATACTGGATTAGAGGGATGTTCTCTGCTTTGAATTCTTTGTTAATCACTGAGCAAATGGTTGGTAAATGAATACACCTGTTAAGTCAAATACGGGGGGGGGGAGAGTCAGAAATAAAGATTAGATTATGAGGGGGTGGGAAACAGGAAAAAGATGGGAACGTAATGTTTGGATAGCAGCTCTGAAAAGAAATCCAAGATATCATTGTAGCGTTCTCCTTTTATTTGATCTATGGTCTATGTTATATTATATAATGGTTTATGTTTGTTATGTAATATAATAGTTTATGAATAGTCATGTTGCTGAGAGGCGGAGCTGAGAGAGATGCTATAAGAGGCGGAGCCTGAGTCAGGCAGGCAGGCAGGCAGGAGAGAAAAGACAGACAGAGCAATAGAGTGTGTCGTTTGGGAAATTTAGGTGTGATTAGCTACTGAAGATATTTATGAATCTCTTTAATCAATAAACCAAAGTTTTATTTAAAAGAACTTGAAGAATGGACCTGAATCTTTCTGAAGTAAATGGTGATTTAGAGATCACCTGGTGGCAGCAAGTGTAAAAGAAGAGAGTGTTTGCATTGATGTGCTCTGAGGCTTGAAGGTCGAGCAAAGGGGCACAAGGGTGGGCGTCACAATCATTCAGTTTATTCTGATTGGATAGTTGAGTTGTTTAGGTATGTGCCTGAGGAGCCAGAAGTTTGGAGTTTTATTCCACACGGTGCCTCTTGCGAGTACAGCCAGCTTGTGTAGCCTTAGGCTAGCTGCACAGTCACAGGGCACCCTCAGAAGAAGGGAATGGCAAACCACTTCCGAATACTCTCTACCTAGGAAGTCCTGAAAAGGGTCACTGTAAGTCAGAATTAGAATTGGGCATGAATCCAGATCATCAGATCATGTTGGATCTTCATACCAGCACCACAGGGTTTTTTCCCCCTACTACTTGCCAACTATGTACTTTTCACACAGAATAGATATGGAAGAAATTTAATCCATCACCTATAAACTAAAATGGGGAAATCTACTCTGCCCCTTCCTTCTGCTGCACATTTAGCTATGGCCTAAGTAGTTCGTGTTCAGCTTGTAAAGCCACTCTAACGCAATCTAGGCTTCCTGCCTGCTGAGCTGTGAACCCTTTGCTCATCCCTGCGATGGATGAATTAGGCAATAACAGCCGACCATTGCCTGACTCTTTATCCTTTGACATTTTTTGCTTCTCTTTGGCCCAATAACTTTATTGGATTAATGACCACATGGGCTGTGTGTTACAACTTACTCTCTGGTAGAAGCTCTTGTACTGTTAGATCAGCTGTGATTTGTACAGCACTCCTTTTGGAAATGTTTGTGCAGTGCTTTAAGAAGAGAACGAATCCTATCAGAAGTAACTGAGGGTGCAATCAGATGGCCATATAGCTTGCGTTTTGGGCTGTCTGTGGCATGGCTCAGTTCAAGTAACTTTCTGATGAACATACAATGTAAAGAAACCAAGACATGGTCCTGGACGTTTTGGGCTCTGTGGTAGGACTACTTGTTTTTTGAGCTGGGTTGGAGTGATGGGGGCCAGATGGCATGTGCACAGAAGGGTGGCTTTAAAGGAGATCACACCCAGAGAAGCAGCTCTTTCCCACCTCCCCTGTTAAATTGCAGCCTAAATTTCTTCTGCGAACTGCTCAGAATGGCTTGGGAATGATAAGATTGTGACACAATTTAGTTGTTACATTATAATCAAGAAAGTAGATGAGTGTGAAGAGAAAATAGAGTAGATAATCTTACCTTTTATAGAAGCCAGTTGCTTGGATATCGGAATACTGGAAATTAAACAAGACACACTGTTACTGCCATAACTGGATGGGTAATACTGCTAGAAATTTTCTCCAATCATTTTCTATCCAGGACAAGGATGTGATGTTTATCATGGTGTGGTTTTGTTTATTTTTGCTGTCAAGTCATGTGGGACTTATAATAACCCCAACAAAGTTTCCAAGGTGTTGAGATGTTGCAAGAGTGGTTTACTATTGCCACACACCCCAGAGATTTCCATGGCCAAGCAGGGACTGGAACCTGAGTATACTGAGACCTACTTTCACACTCTAGCCACTATAACACATAGGCTTTCACCCATTATGGTACGAGGCTTTGATTATTGGGGTGATCACAGTTTCCTTTGCAAATTTCCAGAGAGGCAGCTGTGTCAATCGTGCCAAAAGCAACAAAGAATCATATGGCACCTTAAAGATGACACAATTTGGTTTGTGTTTCCATGGACTGAATCCTATTTCTTCAGATGTGAGAAGGTGCATTTTAAGAAGTGGGATTGCAGTCCATAAAAGCTTAAAACAAATAAATGATGTGTAGTCTTTAAGGTGCACATGGTTTGGATGGGTATGTGTGTGTGTTTTTTCCTTTATGAATCCCTAACCTATGAAAGTTAAAGTGTGTAAGAAGGTAAAGGTAAAGGTTCCCCTTGACATTTAGCCCAGTTATGTATGACTCTAGGGGGCAGTGCTCATCCCCGTTTCCAAGCCGTAGAGCCAGCATTTGTGTAGACAGTTTCCGTGGTCACGTAGTGAGCGCGACTAGACACGGAACGCCATTACCTTCCCACTGTGGTGGTACCTACTTATCTACTCACATTTGCATGCTTTCAAACCGCTGGGTTGGCAGGAACTTGGACAAGTGATGGGAGCTCACTCCGTCACGTGGATTTGATCTTACGACTGCTGGTCTTCTGACCTTGCAGCACAGAAGCTTCTGCGGCTTATCCCACAGCACCATTACATCCCTAAAGTGTGTAGCCTGCATAATTAAATTGTAACCAACTAGAGAGTACTTTAGGTGCTATGGAGCAGTATATAAGCAGCACACTTTGCTTTTTTGCTTTGCTTTGAAGGACTGGTCCATGTACTTGGATTCTACAATATGTAATAATGGAACACCTGTTGACAGAGAATGTGTGGCTTAATGAGAGAATATATGATTTGCCCGCAGTAGGTCCTGGGTTTAGTCTCTGGCATCTCCAGGTAGGAGACAATAAGAATCATGCTTAAGTCCTTGGAGTCATCTGTCCCCTTGCTGATCATCACGAAAGGAGCAACAGTGAGAAAATGGCAGCTTTCTAACCCTTGTCTACAGGTAAGACTTCAATGATTTGTTTTGGAGGGTCCAGTTTCCTCAGCCTGGGCCAAAACAGACAGCTTCACAATGAGGAGTGATAATGCATTATGCTTCCAGAGGCATCAAAGGTGCTGTGTTTGCAAGATCAACGTGCACACAAAGCCAGGTAAGTCCAAAGACAAAGAAGGTAAATTGCAGCTTACAAAGTGGTTGAAAATGAAATAATCATACACTATTTATTGCTCCCTTGCCAATTGCAAAGCTCCTTGTTACTCTGTTTCAGCCACTGTTTATAAATGTTTCCACCCCCTCAAGAACTCAAGGGGAGAAAATATAGACAGTGTTGGCAGTATATTTCAGAGCTTGTAAGAAGGAGAGAGTCAAGTCCGGCTTTGAGTTAAGCATCAAAGGTGTAGAGATCTAAATCGCTCCCCTTCCCTTGGCTTCTAGTCCTTTTCATTCCTCTCCATGTAAAAATAAAGCTGTACCCAGGATAGGTGCCAAGACATCTTAAACTTCAGCCATCTCCCCTCTTGTTGCCTTGCCTTGCCTTGCCTGAACTATCTGTTCTAACACTGTGAGGTTTATCTTAGAAGTAAAGCAGTGCTAATCTGTGTTTGCTCTCAGAGTGGCAGGAAGGCCATGCCTGCTGCCCTGAGATTTTGAAAGAAAGGGTGGCATGCAAGTCTGAAACAGAGACTAAATAATTCATGGTTTAGAAACAAAGAAGTATGATGACAAATTGCTCTTGGAGGATTTTCCTCTTCTGCCTCAGGCTTTAAAATTTTAATTGGAAGGTATGATTATTATTATCTTTTGGTCAAAGTAGTAAAAACTCATTACAGTCCAACCCACAAGCTGTGAAACCTCTGTCTTTTTTGCTCCTTGTGGGAGGGGGAAGTGTATGTGTGCATGAACACAGAGTGACAGAGATGGACACACACACACACACACACACACACACACACACACACACACACACACACACACACACACACACACACACACACACACTTCAGATCAACCATGGATGTCAAATGAAAAGTTATTCCAGAGGGGGGAAAAAAAGCAGAAGATTGCCACTTACCGTCTGGGCATTTTTTTGGAACTAGCATTTGCTTCTTTGTCTGAAACAGCAGTCCCCGGTTGATTCGGAGAATGGGATTTTGTGTTCCTGGTGCTGGATGTACAGCCACACATCTTTCACTACAGCCTGGCCAGTGTTTATGATATCTAAGCAACCGAAGTGACTGTAAACAGGCAAACCACAAACCTTAGTGCTGTGATGGGTGAAAACGGTGCAGCTGGTTGGCCAACCAGGCCTATCAATCATGGAAATGCTCGCTGGTCATTGAGTGGTGGGCAAATCCTCTAACTTGATGGGAAGTAGCACAGATCAACATAAAGTGCCTACATCATGCAAAACTCAGCGTGCTTAAAGTATTTTTGAGTCGTATTTGAGCACACTTGTGGGTGTTACCGAGAGAGAGAAAATGATAAAGGTAGCTGACAAGTGCTTTCTTAAAAGGCTGGAAAAAGCAGACTCTATTCAATGTATCACTTGTACATTTAAGTTCTGAGAAGTTTATTAAACTTCTCTACCTTTGCCATCCTGGCTGAACTTACCTGGAAGGGAGGCTCTTTGAATCCAGTGATTTACACCTGCAGCCTTATGTTTGAAAGTTCCTGCAGAGGAAATGGACTGGATTGTAGGTTCATGCCTCACTGTCCTGTGTGGACAATAGTCATTCAGGTATTGTGTCTGAAAGCATGGAGGGGACAAAAATGTGTGGTTGGGTGCATCTATGCATAGACATTAGCCCTGGCACCCACACTCCTGTCTCCTGGAACTCAGTTTCATTTGTGAGAGTAGCACAATGTTCTGGAGATAAGACTGTAAGCACATAACATTGAGAAGGCATAGCTTTTGATCCTATGACCACATTCAGCTGAACACATTTAGAGTGTGATCACACAGAGAAATAGACACAATTTGAACTGCTTGTGGAGTGTTCAGGGTGATCTGTTTCCTGGTGACCACACAACATACAGACGTTGGTCCAGCTGTAGGCCTCCTCCATTTTGGGGCTGGGAGAGAGTGACAGACAGAAGGGAAGTTTTAAGGAAGATTATTTCTTGCAAAGCGACCCTTGCTGATGCAATCAGACACATGACTTTCCTGGTGTCTGGTTGCACCCTTATGGCTTCCTCTTGAGATCTTCACACCCATTCCATAAATGTGGGGGAGATATGGGGGATAGCTTATGTGTATTCCTACATCCCCACCATGCATATAGTCCAGTGATTCCCAACCTCGGGTCCTCAAATGTTCTTGCACTGTGACTCCCAGAAATCCTGGCTGGCACAGTGGTGAAGACTTCTAGGAGTTTTAGTTCAAAAATATCTCAGAACCCACAGTTGGGAACCACTGACGTACTCCTTTCCACCTTTGCAAGCATTTGCATCTTCTCTTGCTAATTTCATGGTTGCCTCAAGATGCTGGCTACAAGAACAGGAGTGATAACAAATTGCAGATGGGTTATTTTGTTAGCTTGCTGAAGTAATTTAAAAGAGAGAGGGCTGCCTCCAGTTGTAGCACCGACTAGAGAAGACTCAGAGAAATTACTGTGCACCACCAAAGTCAATCCTGTTGATTTCCATGGATCTGCTCTACTTGGGACTAGAGTGAGATTTAGCTCCAACTGACAGAAGTGTAGCATCATCTCCTGCTTTCCTACATGCCGGCTGATAAAAATTGATGCCATATCGCAGTTAATTTGACTGTCTTTAAAGGGACATGGTGGCGCTGCGGGCTAAACCGCAGAAGCCTGTGCTGCAGGGTCAGAAGACCAGCAGTTGTAAGATCGAATCCACACGACGGAGTGAGCTCCCGTTGCTTTGTCCCAGCTCCTGCCAACCTAGTGGTTCGAAAGCATGCAAATGCAAGTAGATAAATAGGGACCACCTCGGTGGGAAGGTAACAGCATTCCGTGTCTAAGTCGCACTGGCCATGTGACCACGGAAGATTGTCTTTCGACAAAACGCTGGCTCTATGGCTTGGAAACGGGGATGAGCACCGCCCCCTAGAGTCGAACACGACTGGACAAAAATTGTCAAGGGGAACCTTTACCTTTACCTTTAAAGTGTCAGGTTACAGGATTAGTTTGGCAATGATTTTTTTTTGTATTTCAGAAAAGCTTATCAACAACAACACAAAACTATAGTGTTACTATAGTTTTTTAAATTTGCCTTTTGAAAACCTAGTTGGGAAATGATTTTCCGCATCCTGAGGTTTGTGACTAGAAACAGCCTTGTAAATGAGGAAAATGAATTACAGGGATCAAAAGCCACATGGATGGCTCTGTCATGGTACAGGGCCGTGAAGTCCCCTGAGCTGGCTTTTATTATCTACTTCGATAGCTGCTGTTCCCACATTTCCAAGCTTCCTTAACAATTAAGGCATCTAGAAACTCCTTCCTTTTTCCCCCCTTAATACCAAACCTATAGCCTCACAGTATCATATCTTGTGGCAAGTACAAGATTTTGGCCAGTGTCCTGTTGGGAAACAGGGGGTATGACAGCCACATTGGCATATCTGCTCTTTGTATTTTGCTGTCTCTGGCTTCCAGTGGTGGGAACTGTATATCACAGTAAGGCAGTAAACGGGCCTTTGTGTAAACTTCAGGGAGAGAAGAACTGTCTTTGCCTGTGTAATGAACAGCTTATTATGTGTAGGGGGGAAAAAGCTGGATTCTGTCCTCTGTGCTTATATAGTGAACTATTTCTGAATTCTTCAGATGATTTCCTTACAATATATAATGTTGAAGCTGGTAGTAACTGCAGCTTTTGGTCTGAGACACTGGCAGATCTCCTTTGAACTTTGTTATTTATCAGTGAGACTAGTGATATTTGCAACTGTCATGCAATTTTCATAGAGAAGGACTTTATAGTTATGAAGTATTCTGTGAAAGCATATGCTAGACTAATTTCTTTGAGTTGCCCTACAACTTGTAATTTTTGTTGCAGCAGACTAATACATTTACCCTTTTGGAAAGTATTATATATGTTACATTCACATTAGACTTATTGAAAACAAACAGACCTGAAGAGTAAAGAATAGTTTCAGATTTATCCCACAGGTCTTCCCACCTCCACAGATCTTCACAGCTATCTGTGCTCAGTTTCAGTTGTTTTCAGAGCCGTTGTGTGCTTGAACTCTTGGCTATGTGAAGGACCACCTGTCTTGTGAGACACCTGTACAATTTCTACAAACGGGCTTTCTGGACCTTTGATCATTTGGACACAGCACAGGGTCATTCTCTAGTCACTATAGGCATGCGAAGTCCAACTTCCAGTAAGAGAGGAAAGATGTTGGTGATGAAGAAGATTGGGAACTTTGCTTTGCTAATTATTTCATTTGGTTTATTTGATTTGTTTATCAACCACCACCTTTGAACTGCAGGGCTGGAAGGGACCCTATGGATCATCAAGTCCAGCCCGTCTCAAGGACGCACAGAGGGGCATTGAACGCCCACCCCCTGGCTCCACAGCCAGAGACCTAAGCCACTGAGCTATCTACCAGTGAAGTTCTTAGCTGCCCTGATCACTTTGTTTAGTGGGTGGATGGGACAGAAATGTAAAATGAATCAATCAATATTTTCTTTCTTCTAAACAGGCACCAGGTAACTGCAGGATAAAATGAGAAGCTGAATAAGTGCAGTAGATATCTCAGAGTAAGCACCATGAGTAAAAAAAAAATCTGCTTTTATTCTCCTCACCTCTCACACAATGCTGTTCATTGGAGGCAATCCACATATTCTACTGTGCAAGGGCGAGCCAATGATAACTCTTGGGACGATGGAACATCAGGATATATATGGATATGTGCGCCATTCCCAGGTTGATGGCATCTCCCAAATTCAAGGTTGTCTGGCAGTCAGCCAAGCTTCCTTCACCTAGATTAGTGTCTGAAAGCTATTTGTCCATGGAAACCAACTCTGGCATGAGCAGATGATTATCTACTTTGTTTTATCATCCATGCAATTATTTAAAAATTGCTGGGCAGTGGGGGAGAGAAAGGTGTATTGTCTGTTACAGCAAAACCAACAAAGCATATTGTAACTTATTTTATTTTATTTATTTATTTGATTGGTATCCCGTCCATCTGATCTAATAGACCACTCTGAGTGGCTTCCAATAAAAAGGAACATATGCAATAAATAATAATATTGTAAAGAAATATTAATGAGTTTCAGTTGGCGTATTTGTACGATGACTCCTGAAAGCTTTGCTCTTCATTATTTTCAAAGCATAATTTAAAATACTTATGTTTACAAACAGACATAGAATCCTTTAGCCACCATGAATGCCTATTTGGTTAGGAAAGAATGAAAAAGTTCTTTCTGAGAGTCAGCTAACTGGGTCTTGACTGACAAAGTGAATGGGCAGATTACCCCCAAACCAGAGCTGATTTCCCCTTTGGGACTGGTGTCAGAGGCCTGGTCTCAGAAATACTTTGATAATGTTTACTTAAAGCATTTAGGTGTAATGAGTGCAGCCGAAGATCTCGAACCTGAGGGGTTAACTGTGGCTGAGGAGAATGCTGAGCAATGAGAAATGCAAACACCTGAATCGCCTCCAGGTTCTCTTCCCCCAGTAGACAGGCTGAGGGCCAGGCTTCGAGGAAGACGTATGACCAAAAGGTCAGAGGATCGCTTGAAGGTTGCCTGCAGAAACATCCGATCAACTAGACCTGAGTTCTGACAGGATGAAAAGGCTTCCAGCAGTTCAAGGGCTGTTTTACTATATAAACAGCTCTCAGACGGCTGAAAATCTGTGGAAGCAACAAGTCAAACCTCTGGCTTGCATCCACACTCCTGACAACCTTGAACCTTGTTCTCTGGACCCTTGGCTTTGGACTCTGACCCTGGGCTGTGTTGTGCGTTTTGGGATATCTCGGTTTATCGGACTCTGCTGTTGTAACCTGGCTTTGGACTCTGGATTACATTGTGTGAGTTGGCTTTGGTATTTGGATATCTACTCTGGATTCCCTGAATTCCTGACATAGGACTGGTTTATCGGACTCTGCTGTTGTAACCCCTGGCAACATGACATTAGGGCTGTGAGGAGCACAACTGCTCTGTGTTTTCGTAATGCAGAAATACTTTGTATATGCTTTACAAATTTTGTGCTAATTCCCTGGAGACAGATGGCAAACTGTCCCTTTCTGGAAGATTGTCACTTTGTTGTTTTCTTTAAACTGAGCCTTTTTATTGTTTTACTCTTCAAAGAAAATCTGTCTTTTCACTGCTTCTGTGACTTTTCATTGCCCCCAAATATCTCCCTTTCTGTCCCATTAAGTTGCAACATTGTATCTACTTTGCAAAGATTTTGTGGGTAAGCATGTCCATGCATGCTCAGTTTTACATCAAAATAGTTGGGTTTTTTTCCTTTTGAAATGCCTTGTTTGAGGACCAATATTTCAGCCCATGCAGCCTGGATTCTTTCAAATTTTTAAAAAATCAGGTTGGGCTTCTTTCAAGATAAGTGAGTCT